AATTAACATGAAATTTGTTGCAGTTGGTCTTTGCTGATGTAAAAAATTTTTTTAGGGTTTTTCACACATTGTCTTTTTTTAAAAAGACAGTACTGATTGATGTCACACATCCTATACACAAACACACAAAGCAAGAAAACTAAGCCCCTGCTCTTTCTCCATCAGTGAATTAATTGTGGGTTTAAAAAAACAACAACTGTAAATGAATTTGGCATTCTGGCAAATTGGCAGAATATGGGAAGTACGGGCAGCAGATATACAAGTATAACTGGAACAAATGTAGTCTACATTTAATATTTTTTGTGAACTACACCTCAATTAAGTTGACTAAAACACTCAAATATAGCTCTGTCTCTTCTCCTACAGGGACCTCTGTCGCCTATCAGTTTGTCTTCTAGGTGGACCAAGATCAACAAGTGGTGGATCACCCTCTCAGCTAAGCTGGGGCACTCAGGGCTGCACCGCAAAACATGGTTTTTGTTAAGGGTCCGTCCGTCCGTCCCGTCCCCCACATACACAATTGGAAATGTTGGCACAAAGTGAGGGAATAGAAGAAAACAGGAGTAGAAAAATGGGCATACATGGTTTTAAAAAAATTCTTTTATGTGGATTCCATGCTGCACAAATGACATAAAATGGGGTCCAGGAGCTAAAAAGGCTGAAGACTACTCTAGCTTGTGTTGTAGTTTCTAAAAGAAAACAATGCCAAAAGTTTGGCAGTATGTAATTTGAGCATCAACTATTGATGTGAATTGAGAACTAAGGCTGCAATTCTGTTCTGGCAGAGGGTCTTCTCGGGAGTCACGCCCGCCCTGTGGAACGCCCTCCCATCAGATGGCAAGGAAATAAACAACTATCTGACTTTTAGATGTTATACTGTGTTTGATGTTTTAATTTGCTGGAAGCTGCCCAGAGTGGCTGAGGTAACCCAGTCAGATGGGACAGAATATAGGTAAAGGAACCCTAGACAATTAAGTCCAGACATAGGCGACTATGGGGTGCGGCACTCATCTCACTTCAGGCCAAGGGAGCTGGCGTTTGTCCACAGACAGCTTTCCGGGTCATGTGGCCAGCAGGACTAAACCGCTTCTGGCGCAACAGGACACTGTGACAGAAACCAGAGCCGTTTACCTTCCCACCACAGCAGTACCTATTTATCAACTTGCACTGGTATGCTTTCGAACTGCTAGGTTGGCAGGAGCTGGGAAAGAGCAACTGGAGCTCACCCCGTTGCATGTATTTGAACCGCCAAACTTCCGATCGGCAAGCCCAAGAGGCTCAGTGGTTTAGGCCACAGTGTCACCCGTGTCTCTGGGCAGCATATAAATAATAATTGTTGTCGTTATTGTTCTCACCAGGAAGAAAACCTCACTGAAGTCAATTGGACTTCTGATTAGACATGTAAGGCTACTAACTTCCTGACTGGAAGACAATAATGAAACACATCATGAAGCAGCACTGTACCTACTGCTTAATGTAAGCACCACTACATGGCCATAGAGCATGCTGAGGTCAAGACTGTGTAGCTGCACTGGTGGAAACACTAGATATGCTCTGCTGGGGTGTCCATGCATTCAGTGCTCTGCTCTGCTCCATTCCAGTGCCAGGATTGCAGCTCCACCTCACTATGCCAACTGCTATTCTCAGCAAGGCAATGAAAAGGCACATATTGACCAAGTTCAGTTCCCTAGTTTGAATATGATGCAGCTTAGGCCCAAACTGCCTTTGTTACCAAAACCATAAACTTTGATCATGGCCTTAAACCATACTGTGGTCTTCTCTAGTCTTAAAGTCTGTAGGACTAGAAAGAACCACCACCCAGAAGCTCCACTAGATAAGACACCTGCTGCTCAAGGCCTGCTTGGATGGAAAATTAAGGATGGTCATTTATCCTTGCGCACCAAAGGAAGACATGCTGTCAACACCAGGACCCTGCCTCAGTGTTCACATCTATTATATATATGAAGCACTTATTTAATGCCAGCATATTGGAGCGATGATGCCCCGCAAATCAGCCAGGATTCAAAGTATGATTCCTACCTTGTTCGCTGCTGTTGTCACCGCTGTGTGATGTATGTCCCCCACTGGAGGGTCCCGGTGTACCTCCTGAACGTGTTGACGCTGTGTCATCATGATCTCTGTTCCAGGAAGGCTGTTGGGTGAGAATTAAGCAAATGACTAAAAACAAAACAAGCAATATTCTGCACATTACACAGAGGAAGAAAATACAAATATTGCAAGTTTCTTTTTAAAAAAAAAAATAATTTTTATTAAGGATTTCTTAGTTTACAAAAATACGTGCATTGTCTCTTTTTTCAGGTTGTGTTTTCTACAGATCAGTTTCATTTGTTGTGAGACATTAGTGTTGCATGCCATGTAAGGTTGGGAAGAAAAGAGGGGGAAAGAGGGAGAGGGTGGGGATGGTGCGTGGGGTGGGGTGGGAATGCTTCTATTCTTCATTCTAGTGTATGTGTGGGGTTTTGTATCAGTGCCACTTGTGTGGGTTCTCTTTCTATTCGCTTGTTATATTTCCTTGGTATTAAGAGAGGTTGGGGTGACCTAGGGTAGGTTGTCTTTGGTTGGCTGTAGTGAGATTTGTTTATGGGGGGGTTGGGGTCAGGTTAGTCATATTGATTCATATGCTGCTGGCGGATTCTTGTTATATTGCTGGGCTATGTATGTGAAAAAGGGGACCCATATCATGGTGAAGACGTCTTCTTCTATTTGTCCCCATGTCAGTTTCAATTTATTAGTTAGTTTTTCTAGTAAGGCTGTTTCCCATACTATTTGATACCATTGGTCCATGTTTACTCCTGACATGTCTCTCCAGTATCTGGCTATGATGCTTCTGGCTGCTGAGAGTAGGTGGGTTATGAGCTCTTTATAATGTGAGCAGGCAGTGTTATCTTGGAAGATGTTGAGTAGGGCCAGTTCTGGGGTGACTTCTAATACTTGTTTAGTTATTTCGCATATTTCATGTATGACTGACGTCCAGAAAAGTTGGATTTTGGGATATTCCTACCACGTGTAGAGGTATGTGCCTGGGGAGGTGCATGCTCTCCAGCATTTTGGTGAGACTCCTGAGCGTATCAGTGCTAGTTTCTGTGGTGTCAGGTACCATCTGTGAGTTTCAGGATGAGTTCTTTTCTTTTAACTGAGATGGATTTAAAGGGAGGCATAGACCATATTCTAGTGCAAAATATTGCAAGTTTCTGAAGAATGGCAATGAATATTTTTAAAACAGAAAAAACACCATTTTTAGGCTTGTGAATTTGTCTGTTCCCTGAACCCAAGTGTGTGCGCGCTCACGCTCTCTCTCTCTCTATATATATATATAATATGGCAAAATATACTGTTATTTTAAAGTAAAGCATGCTTTGCAACCTTAGAAAACAGCCAATTTCATAGGGCTGTGGGAAAGACTAGTATTAGTTTTTACAGGACCCTTTCCCCCCCAACAAAAAAACCACCCTAACAATCTGCTACTCTTAGGAAATGGGGAGTGGTCTACAACAGTGCAATTTACATAAGCCTCCAACTGCATACAAAAGACAAACATGGGAACGTTTAAATACATCACTCATAATTAGGCCTAAGATCCCTAATAGTCAATATGTGTCAGCTGTTTGCCACATGGTATATGGGCAAATGGACCCAGCATCAAGACAAAAAGGGGGGAGGAATCAGAGCAACAATGGCTTCATATGAACAGCCCCATGCAGAGCTCTCTTGTACTATTCAACAGAAAACAGATGTTGCTTCTTATCACTGGGTGCATTTGAAAGTAACATTCAGATAGGAAAAATTGGCTGTAAATTAAATTTTTAAGGAAAACAATCATGGCACAATCCTTCCGTGTCTCCCTTTATCAACAGAAATTATTTTAATTAGCTTTTAGTAGTAAGCTTTTAAAAACATCTCAGTGACTCACTGGTCATCCTACACAATTTGTGTGTGGTGTGCGTGTGTGCAACATAATAGCACGTCCTTTACTGTTTTGCACTGAGACAAATCAAAACACATCATCTTAATAATACTATTTTTTTTTAAAATTGTATATTCTTTCATTAAAAAAAATCAAAGTGGTTTACGACAATTAAAATACAATAAGAGCACATCGTGGATTAAAGCAGGTCACCAGCTGACTATTACCAAAAATATTTTTCTTAATTGTCTGCATAAGCCTGATGGCAAAGAAAATTCTTCAGCAAAGGTCTGAAAATTAAGATCAAAAGTGCCTGCTGATATGAATTAATGCACCATTAATTAAAGTGTAATATTTCAGAATATGCTAGATCTGTTGAAGTCCAACAGAATCTTAAGAGTCAAACTAGATGGGACAAGGAATTCACTTATGTTTCTTTTCAAGGTCAGGATATATATATTTAATACCATGATAGGTACCCAGGTAAGGAAGCTGAATCCTCTCCTGGCCATTTTTATCCCAGTCCAGCTCTGAAATCGAAAGCGAACAAGGTAAGGAAAAAAGTGCCTTGAGTTCAGCATGGGAAATAAGGTTGAGGGCACAACCCCCTTTGCTTGTGATACATACACACACAGAGCTATTTTTCTAAAAAAAGAGGTGCGGGAGCTCACCATTAACTTCTCCCTTGTTTACCTGAGAGTGGCAATGACGGCCCATCTGAGAGATGCCACTGCAGAGCTCCAGTGAACTGCAGCTGAAAAAAGCCCTGTCTACACACACACACACACACACACACACACGAGAGAGACAGAGAGAGAGAGAGAGAATTGTAGAGTTGGAAGGGACCCCAAGGGTCATTTCGTCTAACCCAGGCACAGGCAAACTCGGCTCTCCAGATGTTTTGGGACTACAACTCCCACCATCCCTAGCTAACAGGACCAGTGGTCAGGGATGATGGGAGTTGTAGTCCTAAAACATCTGGCGGGCCAAGTTTGCCTATGCCTGGTCTAACCCCCTGCAATGGAGGAATATGCAGGTGGCCTATGTGGGGATTGTGTGTGTGTTATATATGCCAGTTAGCTGAGCTGGTTAGAGCACAGTGCTCAAAACACCAATGTCGTGGGTTCAATCCCCATATGAGCCACTTGTACTTGAACTAGATAGCCCTTGGGGTCCCTTCCAACTCTACAATTCTATGCATGTGTTCTGTTTCCATTTTAGATATAAATGGAGCAAACAAAAGCAAATATGACTGCCTCCCATCACATCAAGTGTGGCTGCCCTCCAACCATGACTCTTTAATAATGAAATTCGCACACTCATAATATAAAATGACGATTAGGTTTAAGAGTAAAAAATTAAAACAAAAGCACTATTAAGCTATTCTAACAGATTTTTTTTAAAAAAAACATGTCAAGTGTTCTACGCTACTGATTACAACACCACTATATTGCTGCAATTAAAGCACCACAAGGCATGGGAAAATGCCACGTTATATTTTAATGCTACTATTGCGCAGACTCCGGGAAACAAAATGTGCTAATTGATCCTGTGATTCAAAGATTGATGTGTGAACTGTGAAAAGAAATGCTCTTCTACAAATACACGTTTCTGCAGCATACCAGAAGAATGCTGTAAGAGGTAATCTGGAACACATGCTCAGAATGCAAACAGTTAATGCATAAATTTTCAGTTTGTACAACTGCAGCTTTAAAAGGGGGACTTGTTTATTCAGAGCTCTGCAGAAAGAATGGTACAGCACCCAGGGGACAGACAATGCCAGGCACAAAGCCCTGGTGCCTCAACATGTAAAAGGATGTTTTTCTATGTGCTACAAATCCCACTTGAAAATATAATTAGAAAGAGAAAATGGCAAACTATTGCATTAACTGTAATTGAAGAAAAGACTAGCAAGGCATGTGGGAGGTTGAAAAAGCCCATGGGAGTTCCAGGATGCATCAGATCCTCAGAGTTACATCTCCAGGGTGCATTCATGCTATTTATGTTGCTCCTGACTACTATTGTTGACTAGTGATCTGACTTGTAATTAATAGAAAAGCCACAGATAACAAGGTAAAATATTGAACCATCACCATAACCTCGGCAGAAATGTTCATTAATCTGATTAGAAGATGACTCTGCTTAAAGGAAAGGGTGGCTGAGAGCTACAGAATTATATGCCCTGCTATAAGCAGTGGGCAGACTGTCCTCCTTTATGTGACAACAGACCTGAAATATTCACTATCTTTTAATGAGCTCTACTGATTTATTCAGCCCCATTCGGTTTACTCCCCCACTTTTCTACTGTGCGGGATGTAGATTAATTCAATGCTTAATTGTTTAGTAAATTCAATTTTCCACATTCTATTCTGCATAGCTTTAGCTGTGGTTCTTAAATCTTCAGCAGTGAGCCTTGAGCCCACTGCTTCTGATCTGTGCCTACCTTTTTTCAATCACCATTTTTCTTCCTCCACCACTTAATTCACCATGAAAAGATTTTCCTTGCTGGAAATTCTGATTCCGCTATGATCTGTGAGGCATTCCGATTCATTGCATTTCCATTGTGTTGGGTCTTAGATGCTGGGCTCTTCTTTTCTCACAGCTATTGCCACATTATACAGTCACTCATGCAAGAAATGTTGGATTCCACCTCAGTTTATCAAAATTTTGTGCATCTCTTATGTTTACATTTCCGTATTCAGAGGCCATAGTTAATATTAATGCCTACTGAACTGATATTTTTATAACCTGTTGAGAATTAATAGACTTCTAAAAGTTAGGAGTGTTAGCATTGGTGCTGCCTTTTTAAAAAGGAAGAGTACCTATTTTTAACAGTGCTTCTCAAGAGATCACTAAACTAAACTAGGAACTTTCTCTCAGATTTGTAGTTGGTTGTTATTTCTTAGAATCAAGTAACATTGGTGAATAAGAGCAGATTCCTCATTACTGTTACCTATACCTAATATAAAAATGTTTGCAAAGATACTTTTATTTATTTTGAAATGGAATATTAAAAGATAGCTCTCCCCCCCTTACAATATATTTGAAAATGAAGAACAAGAAGCCATTGAAAATTACCCTATTACCTGGGTCCTCCCTTGCATACATTTTCAAGCCAATGGTTCCTTATACTTTCAGGCAAAATATAAGAATCAGGTTTCACTTCCTTTCTCTTTAAAATATATGAAAAATTCAGTTCAACAAGCTAGTAATTTGGAGAAATATGTCCTGGTTTTTGTTTTGTTTTTTAAACTCATATGCTATAAAAACTTGTCCTAAAAAACAGTCCAAAAAATTTCCAATAGCACAATATTCAAAATATATTTTACAAATTCCAAACAAGTTTCATGACATTGCCCAAATGAACAGGGATTGCCAGCTTCTTTCACCTGATTTGATCAACGAGACCTGACACAAGTCAAATAATGTAATGTCTGTGCCTTAGTTTCCTTACGTGTCCTATATTATTCCACAGCAGGTCTGTGGGTGCCAACTTCCTGAACATATATCTCTCCATAGGTGCCAACAGTGCACTCTTGTGCTAATGTAGATACAGACATTTTGTGTTTAGAGAACAGACAAGCCCATGCAACTCCATAATAAAAAGTTATCACACACAATACATCGGATATGGAGAGCTGCACTCATGAAGCAGATCCTGCGAAGACTCAAAGGACTTTTAAGACAACACATTCCTGTCCCTAGCCTCAAAAATGCCCCATCACAGACCATTTCTGCACCACATAATGGCTTAATGTGCTCTTACTATGTCACATCTGACCATCCTGATTGTTCCCAACACACACTGCGGCACTAATGCAACATCCAGGATTTGTTCACAACACTGGCATAGCAAAAGCTTCCATTATTGGCCTATACATTGTTAAGAATGTTTAAGAATGATTCTACCCCCTCTGTTGAGTCTATCTGTAGAGCTACTAAATACAAAAATAAAATAAAAAAATCCAACTGTTTCATAGTTTCACATTATACCGACACTGCCCCCACTCCACCTACCCCCATCCCTGTGTAAAACTGTATCAAAGGGGCCTCTTAGTTAGCATCATATCCTAATATAATTTCATCATGTACAGTATTGCTATTTGGTCGAATACTAACTTTATCTTATTTTTGAAATTAGCTGTTCACAGGTATCATTTCTACTGCTCTTTCTACTGTGCAGCCACTCTGTAAAAGGTATCAGTCATGGGGAGGGAGAGAGAAGGATGGGGAGCGAAGGTTAAGAAAGTGGCTTGATTAAGCCATCTTGTGAATTCATGGTCAAGGCAAGATTCAAACTATGTAATTTCTAATTGGTAGGCGAGTCTTTTTACCACTCTACTACACTCTTGTCAGTCAAGGATGGCACAATATATTGATGACTCTTTCAGTTGTCTTCTAACACAATATCACATGAAAAGGCAACTACTTGGACTAACGGTATCTATGTTTAGGGAAACAGAATCACAAACAGTATATGAAAAACCTTTGCAACTTAATGCCACAGACTATTACACCCATTCAAGCATAGGAATTGTCCTCTGCTGCAGTAAGAATGTAAAAATACTATTACTGCTACAGCACTGAAGAGTTTGTGTCAAATTATAATATATTACCTTTCAAAATCTGGAGACCTCACTAATAATGTCATCACATGTGGAGGAATTAGTATAGAATTTTCATTTGTATCAACCATTTGAAACAGATACTTGGTCAAATCTGCCAGCAGTTCACATCTCCTTGATAGATCAGCCAGGGCTAAACACACAGCTCACACAATAGTCTAGGAATAACTCTTTTGTTTCTGGCTCCTCACAGCCATAGGTCTCAAAAGTTCTGAACCACAAAAACAGCAGCAAACAACTGATACGTGCCATCAAAACCGGCCAGGATGGCCATTTAAGAAGCTCCAAACAACCCCAAAATAGAGAACATAAAAATAAGGTCATTCAAAAATTATGTACAGCAGAAACTTGAAATGTCATGAACTTCTTTCCTTCTTGTGTAAAAGTCTCTCTCGATAAAATTGCAGTCACATAATGTTTATTATCGACACAACCAATTTTCAGCAATATAGAAGCACTGAGCAAACAAAACCCAGTGTGGAATGAAAGTAAGTGAGACTAAAATGAATGACAGCTCTCCAAATGAGATCCGCCTCAGAGGCACATCTGCAACTAAGTAAGAGTGTGACTGTTGCCACACAAAAAGAACAATTCAAAGATACAAGGCAAGACAAGGTCAGATGGACAACCAGAGTTGTGGAGGGTGAGGGTGTTTTTCAAGGGATCCCTCGCTTCAGCATGACACCTTCATGTCAGGAGCCCTAATTGTTACAGAAAGAAGTAAGGGCTTCTTTCTGTAACAATTTTACTACAATGCAGTATGGTACATCCACTCTCACTTCACCCTTTCGTTAAGAAATGTGGCACCCATACTGTCCTAATGCTGTAGCAGTTTGGCAAGAAAATGCATGTTGTTAATGTCAAAGGATAGCACCAACTTCTTGCCAGCTCACATTCAGGCTGACAGCTAAATGTGTGAAAGGGCTTGGATAAGGAGAAGTTGTCCCCCTCCCCTTCCTTTGTTGGGGGAGCAGTAAATCACTGAAGGAACAAAACTCCCATTCTTTTGTTAGACATATAGGAATACTGATATATGACACAGTTGTGTTGCACTCATTTGAATTTTCATAGGAATCCCACACCAAGCAAACAACTATTTAATCCTATCCCCTTTCCCAACAGAACACAGTGGAAAGAGAATACAATATGTAAGTGACAGCAGTGTAGGTAGAAATTCCACACTCCTTAGCACTAGTGGACTAAAAATTGGCTGTTTCCTGCTGCAGGCAAACTACCCAGTCAGCCACTGGCTGAGCTGCAGAGATTTCATGGAATGTTCAAACAAAGCAGGAAGGGGGGAAGGACATTCATGGACTATCAATGTACCTGCCCTGAAAGGGGAATGCTCAGCATGCCTGGATGAAAACATCCCACAGGAGTAGGAGGGTCTGAGCATTACTAGCAAGAAAGAAGTGATGTTAGGAAAGAAGCAAGGCTTTAAAGTTGAATAGATCCTAGAATCGAGGAAGGTAATGGGGGGGGGGGAGAGTCAGTTGGCAAGGCAATTAAGAAAATAGAA